TTCAGAATAAATAAAACAGTGGATGGAGAAACACAGCTGACTATGCAATACCTTTTACTTCCATAATCACAGCTTGTGCAAGGCTGTGCAATATCTAGGATGGGAATCTCCAGCCCTGGTCCTGAAGAGCCCCATTCCAGCAGGTTGGAATTAAATCAATACTTTCTTAAGATAAGGAACAATTCCTTTGCAATCAAATAGGTCATCTGTTAAATTAATTTAAAGTTCATTTTGGAAGAAAAAAAATACAGTTCTCATTATCCCCCCCATGGACCAGGGTTTTCTTAATTGAACACATTAATTTGCTTGATTCACCAAGAGTTTACACAGGTGTTGCCAATCTTCAAAAAAACAAGGTGACCTATAAAACTAACAGGACTGGAACACTCCAGGGGACAAGGTTGGAGACCCTGAATCCAATGTAGAAACTACTACATTTGTCCTCTTTTATGTAAAAGAACAATAGCAGTCTTAACCAGAGGCTGAGGTCAACAGATAATGATGCTGCAGCACAGATTTACATGAGTGGATTCTTCTTCTTCCTACAGCTAACAGTCCAAGAAAAAACTGAATGAGGCTCCCATCAGCAAATGAGGACAAACAAAAAAAGGTCTTCTGGGTTTCAAGTGGCAGTATCTCAGTCAAACCCTTCACCAAACACACCGCTGGCTCTCTCACCTAGCATTTTGGGTACCACATTCTACTTTTGATGGCCACCTTCATTTAATTTGGAGAATCCGAGGACATTCACACACTTTCGAAAACTGGGTCCACTTTGGTAATTGGGAATAGTGTGGGTCGTCCCTACCTTACCATGGTAGGGTGTCCCACTCACACTAGCAGCACTTTTTTTTAAAGGAAAGACATTATCGGTGTATCGTAGGATGTTTCTCTACCAGAGCAGTCACTCAGTCCTCTAGTGCAGGCATTTACAGTTCAAACATGTGCTAAATGGTTACTGACCATCACTGCCTAGAGAATCCTGGTCCCAGTCAGCAAACTGCTATCTGGATTGGAGTTGACCAGGGTCCCCTCTGTTCCCTGTCCTACAATGACCACAAGTGGCTACCTACTGTATTAGCTGCCTGTGATCGGCGAGAGCTACATCATTATTCGATTCAAACCTACCGCAATAACACAAAGAGAAATACAGACACCATTAGAAAACATAAGCAGAATCGCAGATATAAACTCTTCCTGCTCCAAAGAAATTCTGATACTTAATTGAAAATCAGATGCACAGTGTACAGCTGTATACAGGGGTTAAAATCCCTGACAATTTCTTTAACTAAAGGCATTGCCAATGCATCAAAAAACAGGCTATAACAAAATCTAGGCATATGTTTAATCCAAGCCATCAAGAACAGGTGATACTCTAAAAATGCATGCATCAGAACTAGAAATAGAACAATTGGCTTCATAAAATGCATCACCATTCTTTTTGCCTTGACTCTCACAGTACTTTATTTCAAATTCATTTTCTTCAAACTTTTGCCGACACCCCACGTATTCAATCTGTTCTTCTACGGACCTTAAACAAACATTACCAGTCTCTCTCTTGGTGGGGATTTAATATAAAAGTTATACTGAGCTGCCTTGGTGGTAACAATCCTGCAGTCGCACACATACTCGATAGCTTGGATTCACAAGTGGTTCACAATCTCTGCATCACAAAGCCTTTGAGCCCTGTTGACACCAGAGCTGCTCCCATGCATATCTGTTTCCTGTACTTCCTGTGCAGAGTGCCAGCTGTAGCTACCCAACCAAATCAGAACTCTTCCCCTCGCTTCCAGAACTTCAGCACAATTCTATACCTCACCATCTCTAGATGTAATGTAACGCCGAGGGACATAACGTCTTTCACTCCTCGCAATTACACATTTCTAAGTAATACATAAGGGTTTTGTGGATGCACTTTTCAAAACAAAAATTATCTATCCCCACATCAGTATGTGTGTATAAAAAGGCAGAGGCAAAGAATGACAGTTCATCTCTATTGTTTTACATAAGCAAAGTAGGACATGAGTGAGATCTGGAAACTCCCAGCGAGGTGAAGAATTGCAGGTTGGCTTTGCTTGTTTTTTTTTTTCTCACCTTCAACTTTGAGGATGAGCTTGATCGGTTTCACACAGCTGTGCAATTACTCAATTCACAGGAAATCTAGGCATTATCTCCAGGCAGCATCTTTCAAGCCACAAAACAACCAACAAACCCAGCCTTTGCTAATAATATTGCTTTTTCCAAAGCTGCCTGAGTCCCGTGTGGGACAGCTGGCCTTCAGTCCAGCAAGTTACCTGTCCGAGCCATCCTTTCTCATCTATGTACCATGCCAAGGTTAAAAAAAGCAGACGTCATCTGGGCCCCCAAAGCAAAAACTGCAAAAAAGACGATGTACAGCTTGACCCACTGAAGCTTCAGTTGATTTCAACAGGGTTTAGTCCATTGTGCCATCTCTCTACTTAGTACAGTAATACTTGTTTTTCTTCAAGAAGGCACAAAGAAGGACTACAAAATATTTAAAACAAAAGTTTTTATTGTAAGCTCAAATGCACAATGTTATGGCTGGGTTCAGATAAATACACTGTTCTTTTTTTAATTGTACCTTTTTTATTAAGTACTTCTATGTTGAATTATACTGCTCACCTAATAAAATAGGAAGGCATGGAATGGAGACGCTCAGAGCAGAATGTTCCCTCAGTGTAAAGTGCATGTTTGAAAGGTCACTGCAACCTTCAGCCTATCCTCTCTCAGCTGAAGGAGGATTATAATCATTTACAATATTGAAAGACATCTCCAGAGGCAGCCTGGATGTTTTGGGTTTTTTTCCCCCATTGCATTATAGAAGGTGCTGAGAGATTCTGGGCGTTTTTTTCCTGCTTCACCATAGAAAGAAAAAAAATAGCAGTGCAGAGTAAAGAAGCAATACTTGTGCATTAAGAATTCAAATAATTTGATCTCTTAGCTATTACGATACGCTTCATCTGCAGGGATTTGAAACAAATTAAACATTCCACTTTTAAAAGGGATTTAAGCACTTTCAAGGTTTCTTAATTGACAGAAAAAAAACACAAGGATATGCGATTTATCTCCTGCATTCATACAATAGTAGAACACAGCGCAATAACCGTTCAACTGATTTGCATGCAAACTAGGACAGACTGCTACAGAGACATAATCCAATATTAATAAAAATTCCCAGGCTACCTCACTCCTAAAAATAAGCAGCTAACAACAAAGCCACAAGTCATTAAAACAAAAAACACCCCCTCTGTACTTTTCCAACTATTCAGAATCCCTGAATTAAAACACATCCTCACTTCCAACATAGAGAAACCAACACTTTCCTGTTCCATTGATTGTTTTGTTTGTTAATTGACAGGAATAATGTACTCATCTTTCTGCCTATTAATCTGAATAAAAAATATGAGCAGAACGTTGCTTTTCATCCTTTTGAAGAAGTAGTGTAAACGAAGATGACAAATAAACGGGGCATATTTTTCTCACAAACGTTAACAGTGCTGCCCATCTAAAATATTAACCGCACCCAATATTCTGAACTTTTAATAAAGCATATTAAAATGCAGGTAAAGCCGACATTGCAAAGGATTTCAAAACGTGGAGAATCAGCGATATGAAGGGCCATATAATAGCTTAGTCAATGGCCCAATGAGAAAACAGAAAATTACTTTTATTGGTGGACAAATGAAGTTAGAAAGAGGAGGAGAGGAAGACATTAGCTGACACCAGGAAACGCGCTTTTCCCTATTTTCATCGCTGTTAAAAAATTATCCTTAAAAAGTCCAGAATCAGATATTTAAAACAAAACACACTTTGTGAATTATCAGCAACTGAAATGCTCTCTCTGGTAATGAATGTTTCCAAGCCTGATAAACTGGACTTCATTAGCAGCAAACTATGGCATTAAAAAAAAAAAAGCATATAAAATATATGATCAAGAAAATCAAGGAAAAATAACAGCGCCTCAGATTTTATTGTTTTATTTTTAATGAAAGCCACTGTGAACTAAATCACGCAAAAGGGAATGGCGGATGAAACCCGCTGTGCATTCATCACAGTAATTCAACTGGATCCAAGAGTACCGTGACACTGATTGACAGCGACTTGGGCATAACCTTGCAGGTCTCTCGGTAACTGAGACAGGCAGAGATCAGCATCTGCTGTGATTTATGGTCACTAGAGTACACAGTTTAGCTGGAAGGTGCACAGCAAATGATAAAGAAAAAAATGACAAGTGCAGAAGTGATTGCATCTGTTTTCGAGGTTGACCGTGTCATTTATTCCTAGACATTAACTTTAGGCTGGATACAACACAGTAACAAATATTGTTACTACACAGGACCTTAAACCATGCATAACCAGGGACTAAAAATGCACGATGACATACGCCCAGAAATGTTTAACGCAACTGATTTTGAAGTTACATAAAATACCCCCCATCACTGTGTTTCTACGCATTCACAGATCTCGTATTGTACAAAACTCTCCAGTTTCAAAATGCTTGGTTTCCAAAAACTATAGTGCCAATATCAGAATAACTTCTGAAAACTACTCCCATTGTACCACTGGCGCAACAAAGCTGAATGATCCAGCAGGTAAGAGTATTTAAATAACACATATGAAGGTCGCCATGAACTGACAATATAACACAAAAGAGAAAGACGATTAAGATAAAATTACTAAGAACAGATACGAAGAACAATGTCATTTAACTCCTTTCCTTTCTCTGGCATATGGCCCTGTACAAAATACCCAGCTCCCAAATAAAAATCTTAATCCTCAACAATACAATCCTGTGGTGAGGCTAAACCTTTGCAACCCACCAGTTAATTCAGAAAAGCATGGTTTCTATTCCTGCATCGGTCTGTTTGGACATGTTCAATTTTCATTGCGAAAACAATGCTGAAGCTTCATTTAATTCTGAGGACAGTGCATTGTTTTTTTGGATACTCTACATAAAAACAGAAGAAACAAAGACATACTTTTCTCCAAAAAACCTTTTCCAGAACTCGGCAGCATCTGCTTTCGTGATCCGGAATGTGTCTCCCTGGAACTGTCCGGCAGGGAAGATGGCTTTAATCTCTGCAAGCATGTGACTGAAGATCAGAGACAGCTTGGTGAGGTTCCGCCTGTTTGAGAAACAAAATTCACGTTAATATACAGATCCAGCCTTGATAAATTAAGAAAGAATTCTGCATCTTCAAGACTGGCAAAAAACTCCCTATGCCTGAAGGTCCAGAAGTCCTCTCCTCTGATCAGGCAAAGAAGTTAACTTCACATTAAGTTAAATTCACTGCACAACATGCAGACCTAAGCTAAAGGACTGTACATTAGGCCTACTAGGAAGTTCTTCTTTATCGGCTCTGTGACTTCATAAATAAAATGACTACTGTACATTGTTTTTTAATTATGACCTTTAGACCATTTTAAACTCCTAGACTCCCATGATTTTTTGTTCTCTTTTCTTGGAAGCTTACCATCTATGCCTTGGTACACTCGGCCTCAAAAGTCAGAATTTCCACACATTCAAACAGCTGGTTGGGGTGGTGGCATTACACCATCAAGAAGGGTTAAGGCAGTTCTTAAATCTTTCTGAACCTTAACTGGAATTACATTCTATTATGCACTGCTCCAATGAAAATAAAATTCTAACCCATCTCAACCAAGACAACACGTTGCACACTTTGAACGAAAATAAACAACTCCAGATTGTTGTGATCGGATAGATTATCTGAAAAGTAAGGTTAAAACGAAGGATGTGTGGTTATTTACATTACACATGATCAACTCGTGCCAAAAACCAAAATAGGGTCTTGGTGTGGATGACGTCTGCTATTAGGTGCACTATGAGTAGACCCTGTTTAGAAACTGATCGTAAGGAGCAGACAACAGTGATAACTGTGCCACAAATAGGAAGTGTACAGTCCTTTCCTTCGGGACATAAAAATGAAAAAAAATCACTTTCTGGAAATTTGATTTGCTGCCATATGGTGCTGAATGATAACAGCAACATTGTAAAGTCAGTTTGAAGAGTTTCATAACGGACCATTTAACACACACACAGGCTGGATCACACTAGGCAGTCTTGAATACAGTACGCTGATACTTTCTGAGAAAGCAGCTGGTTTGCGCTTTGAAGCAGGAAGATGCTTCTAACCATGAAGGCAGGTAGAGAAACGGAGAAGCCGTCTAATGCTTCAAACAAATAGAAAACCACATCAGGCCTCAGCTAACATAAGGCTGGTGGGGTTACTTCTGCAGCTGTGCTCTCGCTGTACCGTACGCCCGGAGGGCAACAGACATGTGGAGATGAAGCCAGTACTCGAGCATCACAGATCGTCACGCTCTGATACACTTAATCTTAAGATTTGGAGAATACCAAAGAAAAACTGGCAAGCTGTGCTTGGTACAACAGGGACTCGTGATTTGTAGTACTTGTGAGATGCTAAATCCTAGCACCCCAAAGACGCCTCTGGGATTAACACGCTGTGGTAAAAGCTTTCGGTAAACGGCTGCTTTTGACACTCAATTAGGCAGCGTGACTTATCCAAGGTGTGTGTGACTAGGATTGAACTGAAACCCTGACTGTAGGGCACAGATAACCAGCTTATCAGAGGACTGACAGCTCTCAATCTGCTTTACACTGCTGACGCAATGACAAAATAACCAGGTCAATTAAAATAAAAATGTAAGACTTAGACATTAATCACTGGATATTTCTGAAACTTCTCCGCTTTTAGAAAAGCTGGAAAAAGTTTTTTTTTTTAAGTGCATTAACTGCCCCACAGCTTCACTACGGCCCTGCGGCGACTAAGTCGATGAACTCAATGTTAATAAAACTCAAATTCCAGGAATTATCATGCACCATATTGAGCTAGTTCAATCAAATATGTTAAATCACCAAAGAAGGGTTCTTTCAATGGGCAGCCATGCAAGAAACATATTTGTGACTGCAACAGGTCAGCTTCCGATCAGGGAAAAATGTTTACCGGGCTGTCGTTCAATGTCACCATCCCAGGTGTGAAGATTCAGTGTAGAGGTACAATTAAAGATTATATTCTTGCGCATGCATCCCACCAGACACCAATTCAGACATTGTACCCGTGTCATAGTTACAGCACCGCGTCAGATAGCGTCACTTTGTTTCATAAGTATTAATAGCAGGGACAGTCAATAAATCTCCTGGCTGGAATACAGCAGCAGGTTGGCAGGGTAAGTATTGTTATCATATAGATTAGGTTTTGGTGTAAGTGTTTTGGCATGAACAAATCAATCAATACATTTTTATAGCTACTACACTTAAAATGTCTTCAATGAATCCTAGCCATAAACTGAGACTGACCAAGCTTTTTTAATAGTCCATGATGCAAAAGAAACTTTATGCACATCTTGTGCTTAAACACTACTGTATGTCAACACTTAGCATTGACAAAAAACAAAACAAAAAAAAAAACAAATATGCTATCATTCAGCTTTCTCAGTTGAGAGTTTTGGAAAAGCACTACAAAACGGCAAAAATTGATAGCTCACAGGACACCATGAATAAACAAAAAGAACCAGGCACTTTCACTAAGACAAAAACCACTAATCCTTGCAACAGATTAGATCTAACAGACGTGTTCTTAAACATGCTACTAAAACTCAAGGATGTAAATTTTCACATTTTGTATTTGGATGTGAAATGGGTACAAAAAAATAAAAATGCTGGAGTGAAACTGAAAGAAAACACACACTATGTTCGAGAACACCAGTGAATCACAATGCATGACACAATCCAGTTTGCCCAAGAAATGACTTTACAAATTACAAATCCCAAATTTCTGACAGGAAAGAACTGTATTCAGTAATTTTGAGGATAAAGTATTTCTGCCATGTTCATTTTACTAAAAAAAAATACTGGTACTATAACTAATTCTTGAATAAGTAAAATACTAGTAATCAGAAGTCCAGACTTTGTCTGCTTGTCAGTCATGCATTTATATTGAGTATTACTGGGGCGTTATGATTAAATTATTGAAGTTGAAGATCGAGTATTGTACAGGAACAATTGCTTTGCAGGACTTGCACAGATATGGTCCTGTATTGCACGTTTTCCCATGTCAGGGCCCAGTGTAGGAAAGCAGAGAGAATTCAATAAATTCATGCCATAAGGGCCCAACAGATAAGCTCCTGCAAACGTGATTAATTCAACTCTATAGAGAAACAGCAAAAATGTGCCGGAGGTCCTAAGAGGAAAAGTAAGCTAATCGTTTTCAGTAAATCCTCGAGCATGTTCTTTTTTTTTTTTAAAGATAAAAATAAAAATGCAAATTCCTCAATGCATTGACTGATTTGGTTTTATAAGAGACGTTATCTCTGCAATTGGTAAATCTGCTTACAAAGCATGTTGGGCTCTCACCACATGGCTGCCAGTAAGCAAACCATGTGAATAAGGTGTCGGTGGGGTTACAGATGTATTTGTGATCGGATCATTTAACAGATCTATTAATTCTGTTTTTTTTTTCAAACTTAGATGCGACAGCATGAGGCCAGAAATTGTTCTAATTGTGTGCTGTCTGTAAATCCAATGAATCAGTTGCATCACTGTGCAAAAAGGCATTCAGTTTTCCTACACTTGCTCTTATTCAGACCCACACAGGTCCGCAGTTGTCCTTATACACTAACGTGAAAGGACTATTTTTTGTTGCACATGCCAGGGTGGTTACAATATTCTGCAAAAATCTCTCCTAAAATACCCACAGGAGACTGCCTTATGAAAATTTATCATAGCATCAAGAGCTGTACGGTACGCTGTGCAAAATCGTTGTATTGTCATAGCCTAGGTCTGAGAAATAAATCTGCAGTAACAAGCCAGCCCTCCTACTCAGTCTTTGGGTTGTCCACTTTGGTATTTAAAATGAAAGATCACACAAGTTGCAAGTGAGTGTGGGTGGCAGCAATACTCAGCCAGTTACAACCTAGAGCCAACTGTACCTCTGTATCTCAGGAGCCACCCCTCCTCCAAAACCTATTTGTTCTCCAACTGCTTTTTCAAGCAATCGTCTTACACAAGAACTGCAAAACAAAACACTGTACAGAGCTGTAAACAGCAGTAAAACAAGCTTTACGGAGTTCAAAGAAAAAGTCAATTTGAGGAAGAGAAGGGAAGATTTCTGCTGAAACGTATGACTTCTCATTTCCGTTTGAAGATGAATAGCAGCAGAAAACGACAGAAAATTATGATGCATATGTTGCCCTCTATTTCACTCGGGCCATGACAACAAAGCACAGAGAACAGGTAATCTCTCGCCAGGGACCTGCTACAAACAAATACAAACATGTCCAGTTGTTCAAGTGCTAAGATACACAGCACACAAGAGTTTAGTCCTGCACAGACAACAGATTGCCTTCCATCCTTTCACTTCTGCCATGGGGAAATGAAGTGACAAACCTTCCATCTTATAACAGAAAACGCATAATCTGCTACAGAAAATAAAGCCCTGTAAAAGCACGGTAAATTTTGCTGAAGTTTAGAAAAATATACTAATGAGGAAGAAGGCTTTCTGGTGCGTAAACACAGCTGGTTCAAGAGCCCCATCCTCTTTAGAGATAACCAAGCCCTGCTTCTTTTTAAAAATATAATTTGCCATTCAGAGAGGATGCTAAAAGACCACTGGTGCCTGAAGTTCTCATGACTCTACAGCGCTGAATGGTCGCTACAGGGTAGTTGAGGAACACTCCCCAAGAACTTGAACCTCCACAGAGCACAAAGCACAAAGCACTGTTAAAACCCTCCCAGCCTAGTTTTCTGAAAGCTTCCCAACATTTAAATAAAATTACTTAAAGACAACAAGGCCTGCAGTGATTGTGCAAAACCAATGGCAAAAGCAGACGCAGAACGAAATGGCAACAGGCAAAAGTAAAAAGTTTTGGTTATGCAAAAAAAAAAATGTAAAAAGAGGTCTTGGCTGCTGTTTCCTTTCAGACAAAGGAAACAAAAATCACCTTGAAAAGTACGAAGCAGAAACCTTCCGATGCCGTTTGGGTCTTGTTGTTGTAAATAAAACCTAAACAGGAAATTACAAGCCTATTAACAGCTTTCAAATAAATGTCAAGTTACATGTGACACTCCAGGCTAAGAGATTGGGGG